TTTTGGATTTACTGAGGCTGTGTGAATGTGGTCCAAAGAGGCTAAGCTACAAACACATCCAGAGTTTCTATGGATTAAATAAAAGGACAAACTTCAGAGTATTTACATCACAGAGGAAAACAAGTTTTTGTCATTGGCTCAGTATTTGTGTCCTTGTCACGTTAAAAAAAAAATGTTTCCATCTTTTCCAAAAGAACAGCGATGTGGTACAAACACCTCTCAGGGTGTAGAATAAACCAACAGAGATGATGTGAAGCAGACGTCCACAGCAGCAGAAGATCAAGATCAGAGAACAAAACAAATCTCAATATAAATGATGCAGAAATCAGTGTTTGATGGGAACAATCACATGGCAGAGAACAAGGCTTTGCTTGTTCACAGAGACGCAGAGGAGTCTCACGAGCTCCGACGGTCTACCATTACCATCCAGCCGCCAGTCGACACGATTGTACCGTCAATGTCATCGACGGACTTAATGAGAACCCTAGACAGACCGCCTAATCAGGGGATCAATAGTCTGACTTTGAGCAGCTGAGGACACCAGCCTCTGTCTTTCTCATCACACAGCCTTACAAGTGAAGCGTCTCAACGCCTCTGGTTCCCGAGCGGTATAAGTTAGTTATCAACTAAACTCAAATCAAAACCTAACAATCCAGCGCTGGATAGCCTAGTGGTTATGTCGAGCGCCCCGTGTACGGACTCTGTAGTTCGAATTCAACCCCAGCCCTTTCGCTGCATGTCGCCTCCTCTCTCTCTCCTCCAAACACCTCCTGTCTCTCTTCAACTTTACTTTCTGATAAGGCAAAAAATGGCCCCGAAAAATAACACAAAACACAAAAATCTTCCTTCTAAGTATTTTCAGCTTTAAGCTAGGCATGCATGGTTTCAAGAGGCTAATGGCGCTGAAATCTTTCCAGTTCAAAGCGGAATATTTACGCCGTTGTCACTTCTCATCTGAATTGTGTAATACATGGAGGCTGAATGAGGAGGGGCAAAATGGTTTCCTCTACACTTCACTTCAATAATGCTGAGAGCTCGCTGGCAATGTGTAAGGGTAAAGACGAGAGGAGGGAACAGAGCTGTGTGTGCTCTGCGCATGTGAAGCTCCTGCAGCGTTTAAGTGCTCATCTTCAAAAACAGAACGTCTAAATGAGAGCAGGACATTACGGCGATGTTGGAGGATGACTTGGGGGGGAGGGGGGGGAACTTGAGAGTCAACTGCTCTTGAGATCAGCTCACGATATCGTGCTCTGCCTCTGGTCACTTCCTGTCAGCACCTCTGGTCACTTCCTGTCTGATTGGACTCAAAGCTGTTTGTTTTCACTTCCTGATGTTGTTTCCTCCTCTCTCTCTTCTTGCTTGTGTTCTTACTCTCTGATGTTCATCACTTTGGATAAAAGCGTCTGATAAATGAATCTTAGATTAATTAATTGTTTAAAGAGCTGTGATCTTTTTTTTAGTATTTTCAGTCCTTCGACAGCAGCGACTCGATTTCTAAGTCTGGAGACTTTTCATACAAATCATTTGTGATGTTATAGCGCTTCTGTTAAAAAGCAGAAACCTGAGTGTTGTGTTTTTTTATGGTTAAAGTAAAATGGCGTCAGTTTCATGGGCACCCCGAATTAATATCCACTGACTTCTTTGTGTCACAAATAAAAAACACACACGCTCATAAAACTTACAAAATGTGACCCAGTCGTCTCCCACTGAGAGTTTTTTAGAGACAGAGAGCACTGACACAAACACAAAGAGAATTGGATGCACTTCCCTAGAATCCCTCTGATATCTCATCTCTGCTGAACTCGGAGGACTTCAGCTGTGTGCTGCGATGCGAGTAGGAGTGACTTGGGCCACGATGAGGATCAGATGTGGAGCCGGAGACGCCGGCTACTGGCTTCAGAGATGTTCAGTACTGCGGCTCCTCGTACCCCTCAGGCTGAGCCGAGGCAGCTGGCAACAAACTCTCTGTTAAGTCACTCTGCTTCATAATTAGGAGTCACAATCATAAGGCTGCTTCTGCCCTGAGGGCTTCAGACACATCAAGGGGAGAAGAGGAGGGTGCAGGCAGAGGAGACGAGAGGAGAGATCAAAACGCAGACACACAGATATCAAATGAGGAGGAACAGTGAAGAAGAAGAATGTGTGTCAACACTTAATGAGTTACTGTTGGTGCATCGTCATAGAAACATGGAGGATGTACACCTTCTGAAACAAAGAAGGAAAAACTTCAAAGTCCAAGAGGAAGTAACCTACCGGAGCACACTTTCACCCTTAAAGAGACACACACACCCCAAACACACGTAGCCCAGCGTTTGACCAACTAGCCAGCCAACTAGCCAGCCAACTAGCAGCTTAAAATAAAAGCGCCGTGCTGGAATACATTTCACATGTTGCTAAATAATACTAAAATGACTATGTAGCTGTATTAGTGATGAACGTTTGCATTCTGTTGTTGAATTTTATTTACGTTCCGACTGGCCGTGCTAGCTAGATGCTAGCTCTTTGAACATGACCCCTGTTTTAGTCTGTTGCTAACGGGATGCTAACAGTCGGGTTAGCATGCAGTATGTACATTTTGTAAATGAATTCAGTCAGCCAATAAAAATAAGACAGAAAATCAGACCATCAGTTTAGCAGATATTTTGTTCTGACCTCGAAACCTTGATTTGTTACACCGTGTCCTAACAAGCTTGCCAGCGGTGGAAATATTTCCTCCTCTGAGTCTCTGTGTGATCGGGCCCTGAGTCTGACACCGAGCCTGCAGCAGAAAGTGTCAGACATTTTAAATGACTGTATGGATTTAGCCAATCTGGTCGCTGGTCTCGTTATAGCTCGTTTATAGCTCATAAAGAATCTTTAATATTTTATAAGCAGCTGAAAAAGCCCTCACAGGATCTTTGAATCGCTGTGAGAAAGACTTCAGTGGCAGCCTTCCCCTTCATCCGCTGCTGCTCCACACTTTCACAGCTTGACATCTCAGAAACCTCAGAACTCTGACGGCTGTGACCGCTCTCTGAGCCTCTTGTCAATCACTCTAAACCTCTCAGCAGCTGTCCGTCAAACTCCCCCTTCCCCTTGTTGTCCCGGCCCTGAGGTCCTTCAGATAATGCAGCCTCGTTCATTAGGCATGCGGTAGATTAATTAAAGTGATAAGAGAGGAGCAGGGTCACTATTCTTCTCTGTTGTCATTGTCAAGGTGAGAGGAAACAAACAAAGGCAGAGCATTAATGTGCACAGGATGGATCCTGTCACCTCGTTTGACTGAACATGGCCTGATTCTGCCTCAGAGCTCTGAGGAACGTGAAAGGCAGCTGAATGATCTCCGTCACTACAAAGCAGCTGGTGAAAATGGGTTACTTGTTGTTGACCTGCTCATAAAGAAGAAGAGTAATGAGCAGGATTAAAGAGGAACACAGCTTAAAGACGCTGGAGTGACTTTAATCCTGAAGCTCCAACCTTTTAGTGCTGGCTTTAGAATAAGACATCAATTTAAGAGCGTAGCAAAAGAGGAAAGAAAAGAGCAAAGTACTTGTTCCATCCCTCCTAATCCCATCTTCAAAGCAAGACCTGCAGCAGGAGGGTGCAAGAGGGAGAACCGTCGTACTCCTCTCCAACTTAGTATGCAGGGTTCAGCAGAACCACTTTGAGGGGGGAACTTTATCTTTAAAAATGTTAAAACACATTGTTTTGTATCTAATGTTTGCAGTGTTTTAAATGCATATTGTTATGACACTCAAAATGATAAGTTTACGATTTTATGAATACTTGGGGGGCATTAGGGTTAGGGGGGGTCAAAACTCTTAGGACACAGTGTTTGGCATTTGTTTGCTTTTCCTGATTTTATTTTGAAAATAATACTCATAGGAAATGTGTTGTTGTCAGATTATCTATCACATCACGGTGATGACCGCTGGTCCGAGGATTCCTGGCCCCAGCAGACTCCAGAACGTAAAGAATGAAATGCATTGTCATCAAAGTAAAATGGGGATCTGCTTCAACACGACTTATGACTTTTTTAATCGATAATCTTCCTGGAAAGTGGCCAGAAAAAAAAAGCTGCAGAAACATGCAGGAATGGTTTCATCCACACTGCAGAGGGAAATATTGATTGAAAGTTTTTGTCAGGCTGCACATGAAGCTGTGATGTATGTGTTCTCCTGCAGAGCGCCCTCACTGTTGATAGTGCTGTCCTATTTGGTGTCTGCTGTGACATATGAGAGGACTACAGGATCTACATATATATATAACCTGCTCCCTCTCTCACGGCGAGCTGACAGCATCATCTGTCACACATCGGATCAAAGAGGAAAAATACAAAAATACAAAAATACCCACAGCAACACAAGTTTTCAGAAGCTAAGAAGCATGCAGACTGTTGAGGACAAACCGTCGTCAGGCATACACACCTTTGTTAATTGGGGGGGGGGCATGAGATGTGATGAAACTGAGCCGAGATGTGATGTGTCTTTAATTTTCCTCTGGTTGTTCGTCATCTGATCTAAAGTAAAATGTCTCAAACTGACAAGAACACACAGCGCGAACAAGCTAATCAAAACAATTACAAACGTTTCCAAACGAAAGCAAATCAATTCAAAACCAGCTTCAGAGGAGTTTAAAAGAGAGAAACCAAAAGCAACCGAGTCAATGGATAAAGTCAGTCGTGTGTTGAACAAACAGGTCGACTCGTTTGGTTTAAATTGAGTATGTTCAGTGTCTGAAGAATGTTCAGTGCTGATAATCACTTCAGGGTAGCCCCCATGTTTCAGGTCTCTGTGGAAGAGGAACTCGGTCGAGTCAGAGACTAGAAACAGACGAGTGAAGATGAGAACGTAAAAGAAGAAAAGAGGAAGTAACTTAGAGAGTTTAAAGCAGTGTTGTTATTGTCCTTGTGATGCCTGGCAGCATGTCGGCAGGCCTCAGAGTTCACTATGATACAGATGGACTCTTAGAGCTACTGGGGGAGCTGTAGGGGGGGGGGGGGTAGTGCAGGGCGGGGCGGGGGGTAAACAGTTCTGAGCTGTAAGATGTGAAGTACTGTTGGTGAATGGGGCAAGTGGAAAGAGACAGCATGGGGGGGAGAAGTTCACCAGGTTAGCAGCAGAGGAAGAAGATGAATCATGTGTTGTTTTGGTTCAGAAGTGGGTGCGGTTGTGGCCCTGCCCCGCCTTCCCTTTGTGGTGGCCTCCCTCTCTGTGGCCGTGCCTCTTGTGCTTCCTGTGCTCCCTCTGGCCCTTGTGATGGTGGCGCCGGAAACGGGAGACTCTCCGTGCTGGTGGAGCAAAAACAGAGAGGATGTGAGAGACAGTGAATGAAAAAAGAATGGCAGAAGGTTATTCAGACTTTTATCAGAGATGGATGAAAGGCTGGTTTCTGAAAAGTGATGTAAGAGACAGATGAATCCCTGACAGGCATCAGAATCATTCAGACAGACAGGAAGTGAGGTGAAACCAGGTAAAAGTGGAGGGAGTCGGGATCAAAGAGCACTGAGGGAGTCTGTCTTATCTCCCGTTCAGGAGAGTGGATGCACACTGAGCTACATCCACCCACTCACTGCCTCAGCTTCAGCTTGTTCCTGGGAGGCTCTGCCACATCAGGCTGCTCTGTCCCTCACTGCAACTTAAAGAAATGTCTACTTTAATTAACGATACACCTAACGGGAGCGAGGGGACGATTCAGGAGATGCAGACTCACATGAGAGAGACTCGTCTCTCTGCAGGCAGCAGCTCACTGATTGGGGGAGAGACTTGCTACAAACCTGCAACTCTTCAAGCTGGTTAGCAAATATTTACGTATACCAGGAACGTGTGTGCGCTCTGATGGATGTTCTCACCAGCAGGTCATATTGTTAATAAAAAGAGAGCTGCACTCGACCCTGATCAAGCTGACAGACTTGTGTTTCTGATATATAAGTCGGTCATCTTGGATCGTCAACAGGCTGTTTGGTTTGAGCCTCATTTTATGGCTGCGGTAAAATCAAGTAATGGGGGGGAATATAAATACGACCATGAGAAATGCTGCTGTCTGCTAACCCACCCTGGGAAAATCCTCTTTGTGAAAAACTCACATTTTATGCAGATGATTTTTGGCCGCTCCCACTTGCCGTTGGCACGACACCTCGCAGTGGGCACATGGCGCTGCAGGAAGCCGTCGGCACACTGGTAGCGCACCACAGAGTGGATGTCATAATGGGAACGCTGTCGGCCAATCAGGAAGGCGTTATCCACAGTGGGTGGGTCTCCACAGAGCACTGTTGGGACATAGAGAGAGAGTAGCTTGTGATTATTTTTGATTTGATATTCACATTAAGCCGAGTTTTTATGTACGGTCCAGCTGATCCCTGAAGAGAAACTGTAAGCGAGCAGCAGAGTTGATGTGAGCAGTAACTGTGAGCCGGTTTGAGGAGATGAACAGCAGAGTGACATGTGCGCTGCTCTTGGATCATCTGCAGGGGTTTGATTGCACATGCAGAAACAATATAATGAGTGTCCTTGATTGAAATGTCAGGATTGTTTTTCAACTCACAGCACAGACGTGAAAATGTGGACAAAGCTTTGCAGGACAGCGTGTCCGTCAGTGAGAAGGTGGTTGTCAAAGTAACGCTGACACATAAAGAAATGTTTACACAGGCTGAGATGGAGAGAGGGCTGACACTCTGGTCTGAGACTGACAGGACGGACGAACCTCAGGGAGACACAATTTCACAGATTCTTGAACTTTCCTGTCAGAGGGCGCCGGTCTCCCCGAGGAGACAGCAGGTGAGTGTGTAGTACCTCTGAGAGTCCCTAGGGGGCAGTGCTGTGATTGAATAACAACAGCTGTCTCTGCAATATGTCAAGATTCTGAGTCGGCACTTTGAATTGCACTTCCATCTACAATAACCTTTGACTTAAAAGATTTTATAAGCTTTTATTACTCGCTCCAGTAAACGGCTGATTACCTCATGATGAAAAAGTGAGTGGTGAAAGATGCTCTCTTGTTAGTTTTAAAGTGCTTTTATCTTTTTTTCTGAGAGCTCCTTCAGTTAATTAAAACGCCCAAAGCATTTATTCTAAGGTCACATACAATTTCTCTAACCCTAATATGTGTCTCTAGTCTGTCTACAAACCAGAGGTGGGACAAAGTCATTGCTTTGCAAGTCACAAGTAAGTCTCAAGTCTTTGGTCTCAAGTCCTGAGTCAAGTCCCAAGTAAAGACAGGCAAGTCTCAAGTTGAGTCAAAAGTCCTAACCTTTGAATTTCGAGTCTTGAACAAGTCATTACCTCTCTTCACCAAATTAAATGCCATTTTAACAGTGTAATAATTTTTTACAGTAACACAAATCATGATTGCTTATATGATTTTATTTAGCCTACTTCTTAAAATAAAATGAGCACAGCCATGAGCAGCTGTAAACACGGGTTCACAAGGTCACAGAAGAACTACAAGATCAGAGGAGAGAACTACAAGATCACAGCAGAACTACAAGATCACAGGAGAACTACAAGATCACAGGAGAACTACAAGATCACAGGAGAACTACAAGATCACAGAGAACTACAAGATCACATGAGAACTACAAGATGACAAGAGAACTACAAGATCACATGAGAACTACAAGATCACAGGGGAACTAAAAGATCACAGGAGAATTACAAGATCACATGAGAACTACAAGATCACATGAGAACTACAAGATGACAAGAGAACTACAAGATCACAAGAGAACTACAAGATCACAGGGGAACTAAAAGATCACAGGAGAACTACAAGATCACAGAACTACAAGATCACATGAGAACTACAAGATGACAAGAGAACTACAAGATCACAAGAGAACTACAAGAGCACATGAGAACTACAAGATCACAGGGGAACTAAAAGATCACAGGAGAATTACAAGATCACATGAGAACTACAAGATCACAGGAGAACTACAAGATCACAGGAGAACTACAAGATCACAGGAGAACTACAACAGCACTACAAGATCACATTATTATTTTGAAATTCACTGAACGCTCTGTGCGTTTCCTTGTCTAACGTCCTGTCGATCTATTCTTTAGCTTGATGCGTGCTTGCAGCAAGCTCCGTCTAAAATAGACTTGAAGTGTAAATGAACCTGAGCAGGGCAGACGCTGAGACGGACCTCTGTACGTCATGTGGAAACAGGGGCATTGACTAGAGCAGCAGCGAGCGGCAGCGAATGGTGCGACTGTGCGTGCACTTCCTCTACTTATAATTTGTCAGTGTTTAACAAACGTCTTTCTGGGACAACAATTAGTAAGTAACAATAACTAAATGGACGTTCTGTTGGAGGTTTCCCTTTAATGTTCGTCCCTTAATGGGATTCAAACACTTGAAAGCATTCACGAGAGGACCAATCAGCCAACAAATCCTTTTTGATCCCTAATCTTTGTCCTCTGCCTCTCTAATGACTTTATCTCTGATTAAAGTTTTAATTCCACACTTTATTTATTTGTTGTGGATAAAAAGATGCAAACTTCCTTTTCTCGTCTACTATCAGTGACTCAGCACTAATGGAAGGTTCAGGGTTTCCCACCTTTACACCCTGAATGATTTCTCTCAGAGGAGGAAAACAAGGTGAGAATGAAGCGAAGCAGGGAGAGATGAAACTCAAACAGAGAGCTGCTACAGACTCAACAGAACTCTCAAAGAAAGAGCTGCAGGGCTGCTTCTCTAACTGTTAGGCAGTGACTTTCAAAATAAAACACAAGTCTGATTTCCTGAATATGAAAAACCAAAAGTTCAGCCACTACACACAGCATTGTGTGTGTGTCTGTTTTTGTGTTTTAAGCAGATGTCAATAATGTTCGTATAATAATGTCTTACATGGTTAATCGGGCTGTCACTTTTCCTAAAGATCTACTTCTAACGATTTTAGAATACCACACAGTAATGTTTCATTACTTCATTTAACCGTATCCATAATGAGGATAAAACCAAAAGGACCAACACCGGAGACAAGAAATACAAAATAAAACAGGAAACACTAAAGATACAGAGAACTTAAGGCAACAGTAACAATTAGTGCTGCCACTTTTTCATAAAAGCAACTTCGAACAAATTTCGGCCAACTTATTTTAAATACGGTTATTCACCAGAAACAAAAATCTGTCAGCTTGATTAGGGTCGAGTGCAGCTCGCTTTTTATTTACAATATGACCTGCTGAAGAGAACAACCATTCAGAGCGCATACACGTTAAACAGATATTTGCAAGCCAGCTTGGAGAGTTGCAAGTTTTTAGCGACCCTGTGTCTCTCAACCAATCAGTGAGCTGCTGTCTGCAGAGAGACGAGTCTCCCTCATGTGAGTCTGCATCATGTACGTTTACATCTCCTGAATCGCCCCGCTACAACGTTACTGTTTTCATTTACTGAGGTCAAGAGGTCATGTAATGGTCAAGTCACACTGAGAGCGCCCTCTGCTGGCTCTAACTGTAAACTACTTCAGACGGTGTACTAGTTTGTTTATCAAGATAATCTTCACAAATGAAGCTGAAAAGCAATGAAAGTCAAAAGCTAATGCTAGGCTATAAAGGAACGACATCACGTCCACCGACTTCAACGTCAGCTCCACGAAGCTTCCAACCAGACGAGGTTCCATGTTCGGCGAGATGACGTTTAATGTTACCGACAAACTCTGCAGTCCTAGTTAGCTACTTGTTAGCAAACACCTTTTGTAAAACGTTGGTAAGAAGCTCCAAAATTCACAAGTGGGACACACCCAGATGTATTTTAAGTCGTATAATTGAAAATGTTTTCAAAAATCCTGTAGACTTCAAAACGATGGAACAGGAAGTACTTAACTTCTAATTTATTTCAAGTGGGCGAGAGAACCGGTTCAGATAGAAATGATTCTATCTGAGCTGAAAAGCCTCTGCATGTTTCTAATACGGTCACATTCAGAAGTGTATAAGAGGGGTAAAGGTAAATGAGATCAGGTTTCAGATTTAGATTATTGTGACGAGTATCAGAAACAGTCTTCAGCCTCTGAGCCCCTCTAGTCTGGTCTGGATAAACCCAAAACAGAACGAGTAAATGTCCTGAAATGATTCCAATATTTTGAAGGGTTATGCACAGACCCTGTGACACACTCAGATGACGCAGGGATTATTACTCCCCTGATGGCCATCCTGCACTCATTTTGTGTTAACATGACCTAAACTAGTATAAAAAACACTCAAAAATCTAAACTGAACTCAGCATCGGTGTGACCCCTGAACCTGTTCCCCCGGAGACAAGGTGGTCGTAGCGTGGCGTTCTGTGTGTGAGTGACAGACGCAGGGTGTTTTCTAACATCCAGTCTGTCTGCAGCACCTCGGTTTAGTGGCAGTCGGAGCTGAATGAGAGGAGAGTGTCTCCTTTATCTTCTATGTCTGTGAGACGTTTTTACAGCTGCTCCAGTTTAAAAAAACAAACATCTTAATGTCGTCTGTTTTCCTCCTCACCAGCTCACCAACTGAAAGTGAGCGCTCATCCTTCAGCTTTGACCCCCAAGCATGTTAAATACATCCACCATCTTGTTTCTGACCGGTGTTTGCAGCCCGTTTTGAGACAACCTAGGGGTGTGTTCGAATTGTCCCTCCTATCCCCTTTCACTATCCACTTTACCTTAACCCTGGGGAAAACGTCATGAGGTTAAAGAAAGATGTTAGGAGAATTCATAAAGGACTTAGGGAAAGGTGATCTCATTGCTCTGACTATCTGTCCACATTTCCACTAGGCCACGTGATTAAATGTGACGGGCCGGCGGAGGTTAATGACGTAGGTCTGCCGTGGTGAAACTACAACGTTCTGAAAAAGCTGAAAGTGAGCGCTCATCCTTCAGCTTTGACCCCCAAGCAGTACATGTATGTTAATTACATCCACCATCTTGTTTCTGACCGGGTGTTTGCAGCCCAGTTTGAGACAACCTACAGGTCAGAGGCCCGGTGGTTGGGGGCCATTCCTTTAGCAGACAGTTAATCATCCAACCCACACTTCCTCAGGCAACGAGCACATCCTCACAAACATCCAGCCTGATTTAATATGAATGAAAAGGTATTTCCCTCACAATCGTGGCGTTGCACCACCTTTGATGCTCACTGTCACAAGTCCCCAGCATGCAGCTCTGCTCTGACCATAATGAGTCAGATTTAATCTCCGCCATCTTTTCATCTCCTCCTCTCTCCACCCCCGTCAGCCTCTGAGTAAACTCATGTAATGTCTTTTCTTATCAGCTCCATGCTGTGTGTTCTCCGTCTGCTCTCTACAGCTCACAGATCATGTGACCTGTTGGTCTGCTCATCAGCAGTGAACAGGTGATAACAACAACATGTCAGCTTAGTGGACATCTTCATCAGTCCTCCAGGGACCATCAGGGTGACGGACAGACGTGTCATGTTGGTGATTGATATCATGTAGCTGTGAGGAGGTAAGGCTGTCAATTTTAAGGTCTCAGTTTGAGGCGTTTACACCTGCACAAATCTCCTGAAAAACTTCATGATATGTTCATGCTAAGCATCATGTATGAACACAAACATCTGAAAGTTTCTCTCTTCACCCGGAGTTTTTCCTCCAGCCTCCTTGTATTTATTCTGCAGAAAGTCAGAGTGATCTGATGTGAGAACACAGCAGGATATAATCAGGAGAATTCACCTGGAGCCAGTGGGAGGGGGTGGTGACCTTTATTCCCTGTGATCACTGCACGACCATAGACTGTCTGCACGCCACCTCTACCATCTCTGTGCTCTAATGAACCTCCTGCTGCATGTTTCCTGTTCTCCAGTATGTTCTTCTCCACTCTTTAGTTTACATTGAGATTCTCTTCAACTACACATAGCATTGATACAAATACACATATTCTCATTATAGCGTCATATAGAGGACTTGTGTGCTACTTCCACATCGTTCTTCTATCAGGGATAGTCTCCTGCTGTGAGGTGCATGTGTGAACAACCAGATCAGGAGAATATCTGGAGCAGTCTTCCCAGACTATCTAGATATTTTCAGGAGTGCAGATGTGAAAACGGCAGTGATAGTTGTTCTATTTCATAAAGCACAGGGTTTCTTTAACCCACTTAGTATGAGAGGGTGGATGAAGGCTCTTCCATTGCATCAAAACAGCACGCCACGCTAGTAAATTAAGAAAAGCTACAAGGTCAGCAAAATGAGAGGGCACTGCATGGTCAGTATGTTGTCATCTTGTTTCAGTGTTAAGTAATTCATGTTAGCGATGAACAGATTAAATGAACACTTATCTCCTATCGACCAACAAGGTGCCCCCCTGCACAGCCCAACTGCGTTCTCAGGGGCCGGTCGGTTGCAGGAACAAACCGTGGCACACTGAAAATGACTTTACTGTCACTTTATAGCGTGTTAACAAAAAATGTGGAAATGCTTCAAGAATTTGTGTATCATCTTTATCTCTTTTATATTTATTCTACTCATCTCCTATCATCCTAACTCTTAAAAGTGAAGGACTCTAACTTCACAGTTTGATCAATAAAAAGTTAGAAAGCTTGTCACACAGCTCAGGGTCTCTTGAGTCTCATCCGTGCTTTTAATAAATATGTCTTTGTTGCATTGCTCATAAGTCTGACCTGTATGCAAATGTGCTGTAAAAATAAGCTCTAATGGGCTCTCTCAGAGGGGAATGTGATGGTCGGACTCCGGCTCAGAGCAGCTGCAACAGGGAACACAGAGGAGCCAACAATGTAAATACTGGAACGTCTCCAGCGTGGGTTGAGGTTTTCTCTGCCTCAGGAAATGCTCCACCTCATTTCAAAAAGAGCGTTTGGCAGAGCTGTGACATGAGAGGTACGTGGAGGGCTTTTTAAAGACGAGCTGGAGGAAGAAACGAGGACAGAGGGAAGAGGTTTAGAGCTAATCTCTGCAGAGAACCACATTTAATATAAATGCTGTCTATGCTGTAACACAATGAGGCCTCATGCTGTCTATGCTGTAACACAATGAGGCTTCATGCTGTCTGTACTGTAACACAACAAGGCCTCATGCTGTCTGTGCTGTAACACAACGAGGCTGTAACACAACGAGGCTTCATGCTGTCTGTACTGTAACACAATGAGGCCTCATGCTGTCTGTACTGTAACACAATGAGGCTGTAACACAACGAGGCTGTAACACAACGAGGCCTCATGCTGTCTGTGCTGTAACACAATGAGGCTGTAACACAACGAGGCTTCATGCTGTCTGTGCTGTAACACAACGAGGCTTCCTGCTGTCTGTGCTGTAACACAACGAGGCCTCATGCTGTCTGTGCTGTAACACAACAAGGCTTCATGCTGTCTGTGCTGTAACACAACGAGGCTTCATGCTGTCTGTGCTGTAACACAACGAGGCTGTAACACAACGAGGCTTCCTGCTGTCTGTGCTGTAACACAATGAGGCTGTAACACAACGAGGCTGTAACACAATGAGGCCTCATACTGTCTGTGCTGTAACACAATGAGGCTTCATGCTGTCTGTGCTGTAACATTCCCTCTCTGGCCTGCACTCTCACTGCTCCAGGACTAAACGGGTCTGAGCATGGTTATCTCTAGTAACGTTGTAATATAACACATGAATGGCTTCATGTACCGTGCTGAAAGTGGAAGGAAATGTACGGAGCTTGAGCACTGATCCGAGCACTCACACTGGTCAAACGAACTGGACTTTGAGGGTTTGCCCTTACTGTCTCCTTATTTCTTTTTTTCAGCCTTCTCCATCCAGCTTCTCTGCCTCCTCACCATCCTGTCAGTCCTTTTATTCACTTTCTGAAGTGTCTATAACCACATGCAGGTATCTCCTCTCCTCCTCCACCTGGTTGCTCTCACCTGTCCCCTTCTTGCAGACGTAGGGCAGGTTGTAGTTGCAGGGCACATCGTTCCATTTGCCATTCTCGTGAGCGATCATCACCACACAGTCTTCTCCTCCAGCGAAGAAGTTGTCAGGCTGGTTCTCACGCCAGTTCTCATATTGCTGCACAGACACAAACACAGAAGCAGACGCACTGTGAGAGAAATAAAAACCACCAGAAGTTTTTAAACTTCAAGCATCATAATGATTCTAAACACCAATCAGTGATCACGTCCACTTTCTCACAATCATAAGCCGTTTCTGATCCTCTTTCGTTCATCATCATCCTACCTCTAAATAGTAAAGCTGCATACCTGTGACAAGCTGTCATTATCAGAGGAAGAGACAAACTACTGATGATTATCTCAAGGTCAAAAGTCAAAGACAATATTTAGCTGGAAACACGTTGGGTTAATAAATATTTCTCCTCTTAGCAAACTGTAATTCAGGATATTTCCAGCTGTGACACTGAGCTCTTTTTCCAACAGTTTGTCTGTGACTTTAAACTTCACTATTCAACATCTGACTGAGACACTGAACACTCACTGACATAATTCCATTTCCTGTTTAATTTTGTCTCTTTCTTACTTCCTGTTGTTAGTTTCCCTTGTGTGTATTTCTTTAACTTTAGTCTTACTGTTTCCTGTTTTATTTTGTAGTTCTTATCCACGTGTTTCTCTATATCCTGTGTGTATCGGTTCCAGGGCTGTCGTTTTTTTATTCATTTATTCAAACCTGGGGGAGAAAGTTTCACATTCAATCTGGAATGAGCCGTTAAAGTTCTAAACATTCAGTCTATCAGCACATCGCGACACACTCGGCCGGTTCTCACCAGCTCCATCTTGTCGGTCCACTGAAAGTCGTCCTCCACTGTGCGATCATTCAAGCCGATCCAGGTGTTGTCATGGCTCAGACCTGAGGGAGAGAAATACAGGCAAAGAAAACAGAGACAAAGAGGAAGTAACCAATAAACTACTATTTTGCAGGTATGATGAGGACTAATCAAAAACATGAAGCCCTCGTTTGTTAGGACAAATTAACTGTTGCAAAAAATCTGGAGTAACAAGAGGAGGTACATTTAAGGAGCGCAAGTCCTAGATAGAACAAGAGAAAAACAATGTTTGCTTTCATTCTAAGTCTTTTAACATTGTACAACTGGCACCACAGGTCAGTCACCCTAGACCCGCTAAACTGACCTTAACGTTTTGGACACCCCTCGGTTTGTCAGATATGAGAGCAGTTATCAGGTCAACAGGTGTTGCAGCGATGGAAGCGGTCAAGAGAAGTGGTTCAGATAGAAGTGATTGTACCCGACCTAAAAAGCCTCTGCATGTTTCTAATAAGCTCCACGAGCAGAAACGTGCTCAAACTAGGATCAATATTGGAGATGCTTTTGAAAAATGGAGAGAGGTTAGAACACAGAAAGGTTTACAGACCCATGCAGAGCTGGATAAACACTGAAGCTTCAGAGTCCACCACATGGTGACCTGTGTGAGCATTCACTCTAGAGAGGGGGGGGGGGACAGCTCTCTACAATGTTTAGAGTTTAGACTACAGTACCCATTTTAAACACTAGGGGCCAGATTTACTAAAGGTTTGCGTGTCTTAAAACGTGTGCAAACTTGATACCACCAGCAAAAAAGTGCTATCTGATCTACTAACAGCGTGCAGTAAGGATTGCGTCTTTCAAATGAGCAAAACAACACACATTATCCTTTTAGTACATTTGCCTTAATGAATATGCAATATGGGGCATTTCTGCCCTAACGTGCAAAATACTGGGAGGAGAAAATGAAAACAAGTTAAGTTAGTACACGCATTGTGATTTACCAAACCTGACAAACATAGCGGTGATTGTGACGGTGTCTGTATTTAACATCTTTGAAAGGAACGTGCTAATCCAGGAGACCAGTGTTACACACAACAGGCTTCTGTTATTGTAGTTAGGAGGAGACATAGGCACAACAAAAGAAGGCATAAAGATTGCATTTTTCCCCACGTGTTTACATGTTTCAAATGACAGAAAAATAAATGGCATGCATTTATTTTTTAATTTGATTCAATATTCTAATCGTAAAGGAAGAGAAACACCATGATTAAACTACAGGCTATTGTTGCCAAAGCTTACAGCCAAAGAAAACTGAACATTCACAGCCTCTGCATTCTATAGAATTTCAACATTGACATTTATGTCGTCCTATTTCCCTCTTTTCACCAACATTATATTTTAAACAGGGATTTCCTTTTTCTCTGGTCCCTCGTCTCTCCCCCAGCTCGCCCCCTCTGGTGCGCTCCTCTCCATAATGCGCTCGTCTCCTCCCTCTAAAGCTGCTGCTACTCTGTAGGAGGCTTGAATTGGGGGACCTCACCACTGTTTGTACCCCCGTCTTCAATACCTCTTTCCAAGGCATTTATGTCTAATCAGACACAGTGCTGGCCAGCTGTCTGGTGCGCAACAACGGCCCGAGTGTAGAGTGCCCGGTCCACAGAAGACACAGGTCGCACCTCCTGCGCAATGTATGACAATTCATTCTTAAGATGAAGGGACGAAAAGAGAGGCCCTGTTTAATGCTGATGTCTTCTTATAACCAAAATTTTCTTTGTAATATTCAGATTTATATTCCTATAACTCAAAAGTATTGTGCCTTTATTTGCCTCTCCCACTAATACCTATTTTGCGCTTGCAGTCATCCTGCTTTCTCTCCGTGATGTAAACCAGTAGAACACGCAAAAGCCTAACTTAAATAGTACCACCTCCACAAGGTTTGCACCTGGTGTCATTCACGCAAATGTTCTTAGTAGATCACCCGCAAAACGCCCACCAACCAAACGTGCAAACTTTTGGTGTGAACACAATTTAGTACTCTTTAATTGGGAGCTTAGTAAATCTGGCCCTAGGTGTCCTTTGAACTATTAGATTGCTCATTGTTACATGTCGGTGTTCTTTGTGCAACAAGGTCTGAACTTGAGGCCTGACTCAGTTTCAACAGCAGCAGAAAAGCAGTCAGAGATCTTCCCTCTGGTGTCAGCTGAAACAGGAAGAACGTAGTTTGACTGTTTTTTTCTGATTCTGAAGCAGAGATGAGATTTCTGTTTGGTTTTCTGTGTGAAACAGAAACATCACTAAGGTTGTGTTGGGATAATCTAATTTGTGTCTGTGTGTGTACGTCTCTGTGCAGGGTCTTACAGGCATGTGTGTGTACATACAAGATTTCAATGATGGTGTAATTAACTTCATTACCAGGCCCATTGATCGTCCTAATGGATCTGATCTCCTTACTGCTGGGTGGAGAAATATTCTGGCTAATTAAACACACTTTTTGATAACTGTAACTGTATAGAAGAGGGATGGGAGTCACTTCCTGGCATCTGTCTGAGACAGAAGTTGGATTCAGGTTTACCGGGTTCCTCTGCTGAGGATCTGGACTCATTAAAACACATGAGGCTGTGGAGCTCTGGCAGAGGGCTGAAAGCTGAGAAGGAGATGAAGGTTTATCAATGCACAAAGACAGACTGTATGGACGACTCATCTAGTGTTTAAAATGGGTACTGCAGTCTAAATTCAGAGAGCTGTCTCTCCCCCCCTCCCTCTCTAGAGTGGATGCTCACACAGGTTGCCATGTGGTGGACACTGAAGCTTCAGTGTTTATCCAGCTCTGCATGGGTCTGTAAACCTTTCTGTGTTCTAACCTCTCTCCATTTTTCAAAAGCATCTCCAATATTGATCCTAGTTTGAGCACGTTTCTGAAACATGCAGAGGCTTTTTAGGTCGGGTACAATCACTTCTATCTGAACCACTTCTCTTGCCCGCTTCCATCGCTGCAACACCTGTTGACCTGATAACTGCTCTCATATCTGACAAACCGAGGGGAGTCCAAAACAACAGAGAGAATAAGCACATTGTCTTCTTAAGTTGGTCTTTTTTCTTTTGCTTTACCTATATGATGTGCGCAAAATGACCACTGTTCCTAAACAATAGTCTATTTGTTCAAGCATCATCTTCATACTGTTGTCTGACACTTATAACAACATCATGAGGCTACCATTGGCTGAAACAAATGCCTATGACAGATGCATTGCAGCCCATGTAGCGGACCACATGTGTGCGTCTAGGGGAGGGTTCAGGGGGCCTCCCAGATTTAGTGCCCAGGGGTTCTCTGCATTCTTACTCTGCACCCTTCACCCACCTCTGATGAAGTTCTGCTCGGGCAGGCTGTGGATGCTGGCCAGGTGTCCGCTGTGCTCCCTGCAATCCTTCTCGGCATCCTCCCAGGTGTGTCGCCGGCTGAAGTACCTGTAGCAGTGGCCGTGGTACTTCCTCCAGGTGTGCTCGCAGCCCTCAGTGTCTGGGAACAAAAGGAGAAAAACAACAGTATTTATAAAAAATCCATGTGGAAAGATAAATGTAGGTTTCTTTAACAGTTGCCACATCCAGAGGAAGGAGAAGGAGGATTAGGATTAAAAACAGATATAACTTCAGTAGAAGTTCTTTTTTTGTATCCACGCCCTCGTATCCCTCCTCCCTCTGTCCCTCGTCTCCTTTTTTTCTCGTTCTAAAATTCCTTTTGTGAATCTCCTCTCTGCCTCTTTCCATTCATCTTGGATTTAACTTTAAACCCCACAGCAGAGGCAAACTGGTGATGAAGTTCGGGCCGGTGCAAAGGCGTTATAATCTATTCAAATGACAACCACCCTTAGAAATAGCTTCCACTGTGCCAGCTTGGCAATGAAGCCCTGTCACAGTCCTGTCAGCATACTGCTCTCCCTTCATCCCTCCCTCCTCTCTCCCCTCCATCTTTGCCCTCACATCTCTAGTGTTTCACTCCTCATCTGTCTGAAGGTTAGCCGTGTTACTGTGAACTTCACATTTCAAGTGTGACGTGCGTCGCTTGTAATGTGCAAATGTGTGTTTTTCTTGAACTGCTAAAATGGATGTATATGTTGATGTGGTTCAGGCTCAATCTGTCAGCAAAGCCACCACCAGTTTCCCCCCTCCCCCCTCCCCCCTGCAGTGTCTGAATCAGGGAAAAGACCTCTGCTTTTTCCTCCCACAAATCTGAAGCGACACCAGTAAATTGGGTGGTGTAAATTGGGCCGTATGGGGCCCTGCTTAGTATGCAGAGAGACGCAGTCTTCACAGTGGAAAGAAGAGGAGAGTCCATTATGAAAGCCCTTCTGTACTCTATCATGAAATAAGGGCCTTGAAACCTTCAAACTGCATTTAGAGTGTCCGTTTCTTTCATCCTCTGAAGCCTCCTTCATTCACTTTGTTGTTGAGGAACAATGCCTTAAAGTGCATGACGCTATTTCACCAAACACAATGAACGCACTCGTAGCAATGCTGCATCCTCAAGTGAAGCCGAATTATAAAACCTTATCATCAAAATTCTATTTAAAAGATGATTGTTTCCCTGTAGTCGACATAAAGACCGCATGAGTCAAAAACAAATAAACAGACATGCATGTTGTCTGCAGAAAGAGAGAGAAATAAGGAAAGAATAAAGAGCGATGTTACATGTGAGGGATTTATTTGGCCAGTCCTGCATCTGCTCCCCTAACATTTCTGGATAATTTCAGGAGGACTGAGATCCTCCTGATATGGTAGTGGACACATGCACCTCATAGCAGGAGACTATCCCTGTCAGTTCCAATTCAAATCTGACATTCAAAAACTCAGTCTCATATCTAATGCATATTATACAGTATATAACATAAACCTGTTTTCTTTGGCGCATATGTTGCAGATAAATTATGATCTTCCAACATGACTTAGTGCCATCCACAATTAAGCCCCCAGACAAGCTGTTAGGACGGTCTGTCCAGGGTCCGTTAGCGGCCTAGCTCCCTTTGCCTGTGTGTGTTCTGCATGGAGGCACAACAGAAGGAGAGAAGTGACATGAGCCGGCTTGAGCTGCGCCTATCTTGGAATAAAATGTAGAAATCCACAGTAAGAATAACAATGCTCTGCAGGCGCACCTGGCTCACAAAGGGAATGAGAGCTGACAGGGAGCGAGAACATTCGGTCTCTGTGAATCATTTATTCACTGGGTGAGGGTGCTTTACACAACACCAATGGCCACATCACAACCAATAGAAATCACTTCACAGCAGTTTACTGTGCACAGGGGTACGAGGCAAGGTCGCCCACTCTTCCAATCACATGCCGCAGCCCTCTGCCAAAAACAAGCCATCACAGGAATACAAGAAACCTGGAACATAAGATCACTCTATATGCAGACGACATCCTGCTTTATCTGAGTAACCCATCCTCATCCCTTCCTGAAATCATTTACCTCATAATCAAGGTAAATGATTTCTCCCAAATCTCTGACTACACCATCAATTGGTCATACTCCACCATCCTCCTACTGAACTTTAAAAGTTGGGATGTGGCAGCCCAAAGTACACCTCACTCTCTGCACACTGCTAACAGCACTTAAGCTGGCTCCTCACCTGAAGATTTTCAAATCTTAACCGACAGACATGAGGACAGTGTAACAGATGTTTAACATTAAAATCCTCTAAATGAACACACCAGATGACTCGGCCAGACCATGAGACCACACACCTGCCGTTTGTAGCAATGACTTCACAGGCAAGAGAAATCTGAGTTATCAAATGTGACTTCAGAAGAAAAACAAACATGGAGGACGATGGACGTGGTCAGCTGGCTTTCAGGCTGTTTGTTCTGTTTTACAGCTAAAAACGGAAAACAAGAAAACTCCTTGCTGAGAAAACGGATTATGAGAGCAGTTTGAACTCAGAGGGCAGAACAAACACCTAGCTGTGGGAGTGTCACCCACCTGGGGGAGGGGCTACTGCCCTTTGTGATGTCATGAAGGGAAAATCTCCAAACGGCCTGATTGAGCACACATTTTCTGAAAAGTGGAGCAGGCAAAAGACGGAGAGGATGGACTTTGGGGGGTTTGTAGACGGACTAGAGACACATGTTAGAGTTAGAGAAACATGGGGAAGTAGATTTTACATCATATGTGACCTTTAAAAGAGAGTAAATCTTCTAACTGACAGTCAGCTCAGCTTATGTCGCTCTTATTAAAGCATCATTTTAAAAGTGAGTTTGTTTCATAACGATTAAAAACACAAATCCCATCCCATCACATTAGGTTCCAGATATTTCAAACAGTGTTAGCCTTAGGGCTAAGCCTTGATGGATTTCACTGAGCCAGATAACTGATGGTTTACTCACAGCAGAGAATTCGACAAACACACGAGTCGACTTATCACTTCTTTACATATGAAATGAGGTTTATAACACCGAACAGAACTTAAATCCACATCAGTCACATGAAATATGACAACATGAGATGAAGAATCTTCCTGTCAACCATCTGAAGAAACCTCCTTTGCTGTGTGCTTACAGTTCAAACTTCAAGATAAAGATGCTGTAGGTCACAAACACTAACTAAAAAAGTGAATTTCTCCCTTAGTGTGTCGGTCCAAAGAACAGGAAGGTTTGTTCCAAAGGTTTGTGAGGCTGCTGGACTGCTGCCTTCCTTCTGTAACCCTTCATGACGTCTGAACATTGATTGTAGTCTTTTGTGATTTGCTACATTTATTTTACCTCCCAGGTTGTCTTTGATCAAACCTGATGACCTGGAGACAACATTTCCCACTTGCAGCCTCCTCTTTGTATAGATAGGGCTTAGAGAGAGGAGGAGGAGCTCAGTGTAGAGCCGCTACTACTTCGCCTCGAAAGGAGTCAGTTGAGGTGGTTCATGCATCTGATTAGGATCCTCCTGGACGCCTCCCTATGGAGGTTTTCAAGGCACGTCCAACTGGGAGGAGACCCGGGGTAGACCCAGAGTTCCCTGGAGGGATTATATATCCTGTCTGGCCTGGGAACACCTCAGAATCCCCCAGGAGGAGCTGAAAAAGGTTACTGGGGAGAGGGAAGTCTGGGTTGACTTACTGCACTTGCTGCCGACCCCACCCGACCTCGGATAAGAGGAAGACAGTGGATGGATGGATGAATGGATGAATGGAGCCTCCTCTTTGTGGCTCACTGGTCAGAACTATTGTCTCAACAGAGGAACTTAATGACCTTAAATGTGTCCAGTTTAACTTCCCTTTGAGGCTGTCTTTTTAGATTTAATTTCATAATGAATTTCACACTCTTGAATATGAGCAATATCTACTTCCATTCAATGGGCCGTCTCCTCTCACTCACATCTAAACAACGTTTTTTTAAAACTCTCCGTAAAGATGAGCTGAAACCAGAGTGGTGGCGAGTGGAGAAGAACATACATGGACGTGCATGGAGATGGTAGAGGTGAGGGGATCACAAGGAATAAACGTCACCACCCCCTCCCACTGGCTCCAGGTGAATTCTCCTGATTATATCCTGCTGCGTTCTCACATCAGCTCACTCTGACTTTCTGCAGAATAAATACCAAGAGGCTGGAGGAGAAACTCAGCGTTCACACATGACGCTCAGCAAGAGAATATCAGGAATTGAGCTGTCTCTGACCACGCCCCCTCTCTGGGTGTCTTGGTCTTTCTCGCTCCATGTCCTATTGTTTACGGTGAGAAGGCAGACTCAGAGGGCAGAACAAACACCTAGCTGTGGGAGTGTCACCCACCTGGGGGAGGGGTTACTGCCCTTTGTGATGTCATGAAGGGAAAATCTCCAAACGGCCTGTTTGAGCACATATTTTCTGAAAAGTGGAGCAGGCAAAAGACGGAGAGGATGGACTTTTCTCATCATTGGGGAGTTTGTAGACGGACTAGAGACACATATTAGTGTTAGGGCGCGGTCACACTGGCAATCTGTACCATGCTGTACTCAAGCACGATTGGCCCACCGCTGCGCCATTCCCACGCTGGCCAGCACGGCCCGCGGTCATACTGGCCAGGAATAACTGTGCATAAAAGCACGATTACCTCTTGTACATGACGTCATAATACAACACATGCATGCTTTATGTTATTATGAAGCGTGCTCAGTTTACAAACAGGCGGACGAGAGAGAGAGAGAGAGAAAAATAGACGCGCAGTCGAGTCCACACGGACGCCCGCACATCAGAGAACAACACAGAGAACATGACAGCTACTTTGTGTCTTATATTGTTTCATTTTAGTCAGATACAGACATGAAACTCTGGATTTCTCCATAATGAAGACTGTCAGTGTTGTTTACCCGCGTGCTTGTGGTAGTGCATGAAGTGTAACGTGCTGAAGCACACCTCTCCGAAGTGTGCCAAAGCCAAGGAAGTGTACCGTGCCTGAGCACGATATGGAGCGGTCACACTGGCCAAACGAACTGGACTTTAGCGTCTGCTTGGGCATGGTACGGATGGCCAGTGTGACCGCGCCCTTAGAGAATCAT